GGGCGGAAGCCCCGCCCTGCAGCTGTGACTGGGTGGCCCGCACCTCCTGCAACATCGTCGCCGGGCCCAGGGGCGCGGCCCCCGCCCCTGCGGGGTCGGGCGCGCCCGCCGCCCCGAAGCCCAGCCCCGCGGCAGCCGCGGGCGCCGCCGCGGCCGCGCCTGGCAGTGCAGCCGCCGCGCCCCGCAGAGGCGCCGCCGCCGCCGCCCCCGCAGGCGCCGCCGCCAGAGCTCCGCCTCCAGGACCAGCAGGGGCGGGGCCGCCCACAGGCATGAACACGGGCAGCCCACGCAGAGCGGCGCCCGCGTCCATCCCCGCGCGTAGGGGGGCGGCCATGGCCCCAAGGGCGGCGCCCACGCCCTGGGCCGCCGCGTGCGGAGGGGCGCAGACCCAGTTGACCGCGGCCGCCGGGGTGCCGAACGGCGCCGTGCGCAAGGCCCCACCGCCCGGCACCACCGCGGCGCGGAAGTTCCCAGGCAGCAGCCGCGCGAGCACCCACGCGAGAGTCGTGCCCGCGTCGTCCGTGCTGAGGCCGAGGCTGCAGTCTTCCCCCTGCACCTGGCCGAAGACGAGGACCTCGCCCCATTCGGCTCCACGAGCCACCGGCACCCAGCGCGGAGCCCCCGCGCCGACGGCCGCACCTGCCGCCAGCGCCATCTCCGTCAAGGCGTACTCCAGAGCGGTTGAAGCAGCTGCGAGCTCGCGATGGCGCGCCCGCTCGGCTCGCCGAGCCCTCCAACACCACCGCGGGCGCCGAGCCCCCGCGCAGCAGGCCCCCCAGGCGCCGCCCGCGAAGTCGCGGCACGCCGACCAGCAGGCACGGGCACCCCGTGCTGCTCGCCAGCGATGCTCCCAGGCGAGCGCCGCCAGGGAGCTGGCCAAGGTGGCAACGGCACGCAGCCCGCGCCAGCCCCAAGCCCAGGCGGCCTCTGCGCCCTGGGCGGCGACCGCGAGCCCGCGGGGCCCAGCCGCCCCGAGCGCGCAGACCGCCTCGGGAATGAGGTGGGCGGCCGACCACAGCGCCGCCTGTTTTCCAGAGCGCCGCTGGCGCGCCAACCAGGAGGGCCGATCGCAAGCAGGCGGCTACTTCGGCGCCGCCCGCCGCGGCGCCCCCACAGATCGCCGCCGGGCGATCTTGAGCCAAGAAAATATACACATGCGCAGTCGTCCAAATGTCGACACGAGAAGAGATGAGACCCAAGGACATTCCGAAAACCATACAGCAAGCTCTTCCTATGTGTTGCACCACGTCGACTCTCCTGTCTAAAAAGAGAATCGACTCTAACCCCCCCCCGAGTTATCGCTACCCCTATCGGGTGTGTAAATCATATATGATTATGACCACATGTCCATCCTAAATATGAAGTTACACTATCCCAGGGGGGCCGGCCCCCCCCCCCCGAGGTTCCCTCGTGCAAATAAAAACACTGATGCGGTGACAGTTTTTGTTCTAACATAGCACTTTTTCGCGAAACCCTTGCGCGAAACACGGGGCGAAGCGCGCGCGCGCGCGTCGTCGCGCGCGCACGCCGAAATCCTTCAAACACCTTCGGTGCCAGAAGGATTTCGCAATCGAGTTTCCCCCATACAAAAATACAATAACATATGGTTTCGTAACACTGATGTGCTTAAACAACTTACGCGCGAGCTCTTGCGAAATCTTAGGAAAACCGTAGGTTTTCAAGCTGTTCACAACATGCTACCAAACGGGCTGCGCGCGCGCGCATGTCGAAATCTGCCGGGCGCCCTTGCGCGCGTGCCGTCGCGAGAATCCCCCGCAACAAATGGAACCAAGTGCAGACGCGCGCGTCGTCGCGCGCGCATGCCGAAAACCTTCAAAACCCATAGGTTTCGGAAGGATTTCAAAATCGCGTGTCCAGAAAACCTACAAGAACGCAAAGTTTCGCAAAACGGATTTTCAACAAAAGCGCACGCGCTCTTGCATCGTCGTCGTCATCGTCGTCCTCCTCCCTCCCCCCGCGTCGTCGTCGTCGTCGCCTACGTCGTCCTGTCTTTCCTCGGGCTCGTCGTCGTCGTCCTCTTTGGCGTCGTGGTCGTTTCCGTCGTCGTTGTCGCCGTGGTCGTCCTTCCTCCTCCTCCCTCGTCGTCGTCGTCCGTCGTCGGCGTCTCGTCGTCGCCCCTCCTATTTCGTCGCCGTCGTCGTTGTTGTCGTCGTTGTCGTCATCGTCTTCCCTCCTCCCTTCCTCCACCCTCGTCGTCGTCGTCGTCGTCCGTCGTCGGCACCTCGTCGTCGCCCCTCCTATTTCGTCGCCGTCGTCGTCGTCGTTGTCGTCGTCTCGTCGTCGTCTTCCCTCCTCCCTCGTCGTTGTCGTCGTCGGCGTCGCCGTCCTTCCTCCTTCTTCGTCGTTCGCGTCGTCGCCGTCCTCCCTGCTCCCTCGTCGTTGTCGTCGTTGTCGTCGTTGTCGCCGTCGTCGTACTTCCTCCTCCCTCGTCGTCGTCTTCGTTGGCGTCGTCGTCGTCTTCGTCGTCGTCGGCGTCGTCGTCGTTGTCGAAGTCGTCGGAGACGTCGTCGGTGTCGTCGCAGTCGTTGTCGTCGGCGTCGTCGTAGTCGGTCTCAATATGTTTTGCAAACCAAGTTGCGGGTGGGTGGGTGGGCGGGACGTTTGCAAGAGCGTGGAATGTGTCACATCATGGGTAACAATCAATTGCACCACATAGATGGGGCCGCATAGACTGCAGCACATCGATGGCACCACATGGGTGCGCCACACGCATGCATTACGCCACACTGACTGCACGATATGGATTGCACCACGCACATTGGACCACATGCGTTGCACTACACATTTTGCGCCACATAGCTTACGCCAGATTGATTGCACGACGTATATTGCACGCATAATTTGCACCACGTCGGTTGCGCCGCATAGATTGCACATCATAGTTTACATCGCATATAGTGCCCCACGCGCAATGCAGGATCACTGTTTGAGGCCCGCGCTGGATCCAGGGAAATATCCCAATTTGTCGCCGCATCGAAGGTCGCGCGCGCGGCCCTGCCCGCGCTGCCGCCCCCTGCCCGGGAGCAGACCGCGGGCCCGCAGGGCATTGCTTGCGCGGCTTGCCCCGCCGCCCTACCTCGGGCGCCGCGCGGGGGGCCGCGGCCCACGGGCCCGAGCTAGATCGTCCGACCAGCCAGCCCCCGCGCGAAGGGTCAAACTCTCGAGCTCGCGCGCGAGCGGGGCCATAGCGACGGCGCCTACTGGCAAGGCCCCGGACCATTTGCGACCTGCCTGGCGGCATTTGAACGCGCAGCTCGCATGCGGGGCAGCGCCGGCGGCGCGCCGCACGCCCCGCGTCGCAGGCTGCGTTCGTTGAAGCGGGTCCCACTGCGGCCGCGCCGCGCGCCGCCTGCCGCTCGAGCGACGGCGCGGGGCAGCGCGCGAGCGCGGCCGCGCGCGTTGCCGATTTCTTCCGCGTCGCCCACTTCGCCTGACGGCGCCATCGCCCACTTGCGATGGTTTTGTTGTTTTCGCCCCCAGGGGTGCGTGACCTTCGTTCGCGGGCAGATCGGGCGCGCGTTCGCCCCGCGCCCCCTTCGCCTCGCAGCGGGCAGCCAGCGGCGTCGCGCGGCGCGCGTGCCAACCGCCCGCCCCCGCGCGCGCGCGCAAGCGCGGCTTCGTCCGCAAGCCGAAATGATTCGGCCGTTTCGAAAGGCGCCCGCAGGGCGCGACCTTGCCAGGGCGCGCTGGCCGAGCGCCCGTCGCCGCGTCGAGCGACGGCGCCCCCGGCCTTCGCTGCGCGCGTGATCGGCGGCATCCGCGCCGCGCGCTCTCGACGCGCGCCCAACGCCCTCGCTTCCGCGCCGCGCATCCGCGCCGCCGCCCAATCGGCTGCCGAAGAGAGGCTCGGGGCGGTGGACGCAGGCGCCAGCGCGCGCGGGGGGCGCGCGCGGGGCGGCGGGCGATTGGGCGACGCCGCGCGCGCGCTCGCGCGCCGGGCCCAGGCTCAAGCTACCCGGCCAGCGCACTCTGCGCCGCGTCTTCATGGCCCTCGGTGCCCAGACGCGACAACCGTTGTATCGTGTGGCCTCGTCGCAGATGGTCTCCTCGGTTTATTGGCGCACGCGGGCGGCCTCCCCCTTGGGCCGCGCGCGACAGACGGGGCGGGCGACGCGCCGGCCGGCGCGGCCGCCGAGACTTGGGGAGCCAAGCGCGCGAACAGGGCGGTGCGCGACGCCCGCTGAGGGCGGCGAGGCGATCGCGCCGGCGCGGCGCGCTGGCATTTGGGGGGGCGGGGGGGGGGGGGGGGGCGGCGCAGTCGGGCCGCGGGGCGGCGGGGGAGGAGCGCCCAATCAGATTGGTCATGGGGCGCGCCGCGTCGGCGCCAGACCCCAGCTGGCGGAGGGGCGGAAAGCCCGTCGCAAGAATGACCGCGGTGCGTTCGGGCACCTGCGTCCGCGCGATGCTGCGCGCTGGGTTTGATTGCGGGCGGCGGCGGGGGCTCGCGACGTCGCCGCCCGTCGCGAAGGGCGGGCAGGGGCGGCCAAGAACCTGTGGGCGATCGGAGCGGCGAGGGCAGCACGGCGGCGGCAATGTTCGGGTTGCAGACCCAGGGCTCTAGCATGCGGTCATGCGAGCATACGAGAAGGCCGTTCGGCCTTTCGAACCATGCGAGCGTTCTAGCAGACGGCTTGGCCCCTCGGATCACGCGAGCATGCGGCATGCGATTCGGCATGCTCGCATGCGAGCATGTGGGGCGAAGGGGGCGGTGCGCGTGCTCGTTGCCGCTGGCGGCGCAGTGCGCGTCGTCGGTCTGGGGCGGGGTGCGCGCGGCGGGCCCTGGGCCCCAGTCCAACGCGCGAAGTGCTCGCACCCCCGCGGCGATCGAAACCCTTGCGGCATCCGCGCGGCGGGTGGCGCTGGCATCCCCTAACTGTTGGGCTTGCCGAGCTGGTTGGCCCCTTTGAGCCGCTCGGGCTGGCGCCGACGGCCCCGTGGAACCGCCGCGCCGCCGTCGCCCGCCGACGCGCGCGCGGGGCCAGCGCGAAATCGTCGGCCAGGGCGAAGCCCGCGCAAACAGGCGCCGCGCGCTGGTCGGCGTTCGGCTGAGGGCAACAACCGCCCCGCCTCTGGCCACTCGCGCTCGCGGCGCATCGGCGGCGGCAGCGCGTCGCAAACGCGGCGCGCGCAGCCGCGCTGCCCCCGATCGCGCCCGCGTCTGGTAGCGCTGGCCCCTGCTCCGCTGAGCCGTCGCAGGTCGGCTCGCACTGTGCCGGGCCATCCGGCGACGCGGCGGGGGCGGCGTCGCCGTCGGCAGCGCCCCCTACCTCGCCCATGCGGCGCCGCCCTGCGGCGCCGCCCAGAAGAGGTCGGCCGCGCGATCGCTGAGCGGCGGTGAGACGCGGGCTGCAGCGCGCGCCGCACGGCCGCCGCGCGCTGGAACGTCGCTTCGTCTCGCGTCGACAGCGCGCGTCGCCGACCGCGCGGGCGCGCGTCGCCGCCGCGGGCGGGGCCCGGCGCGGCGGGGCGCGCATCTGCGCATCGCGCTGCGCGCGGGCAGCGCTGCAGCTGGCCGCGCGCGAGCGGCCGCTCCGCGCGCGGCGCCCAGAAATGGGGGCGGGGGCCCGCGGCGGGCCGACGCCGTCGGCCGCGGATTTATCGCGCAGGACGCGTCGGGAAACCTAATTTTCCACATCGTCTCGTCGCAGGTCGACGTGGGGAAATACCTTAGCTGCGGAAGGACATTTCTTTACTATGTAAGACAAAATCGGGTCGGCCAGGGGCGTGTCGCGCGGGTCGGCCACGGCGGGCCCGTCCGCCCGAACCGCGCCGGGCGGCGCGGCGCTGCCCGTTGCGCGCCGACCTCGAGGCTTGCCGCCCGATCGCGCGGGCGGCGTCGGTCGGGCGGCACCAGGTTCGCCAGCTCGCGCGGGCCCGCCATGGCCAGCGCTTGCTCCTGATGCACTGCGTGCAGCACAGGGGCGAACAACTTGTAACTGTTCGCAATCGCGCGCCTCCCCAGCCACCCCCCGTTCCTGTGCGCGATTGCAAATTACAATATCAGTCCAAGGTGTCGGCCATGGCCGCGCCGCCGCGGCGCTGAGTCGATGGGCCTCGGAGCGGCGCGCCGACCGTAACGCGCCGCTTCCGATCTCCGCGCGGCGGCGCGCGACGATTGCGCAGCCCGCCCACGCGTCGCGCGCGCGGGCGCTCGGGCGAGCGGGGCGGCCGCGCGCGAGCAGCGTTCCCGCGTCCGCGCGATGGAAATTCACATGCCCGCGCGGCGCGATTGGGATCGCGGGTCGGTCGGCGCTGCAGGGCGCCGGCGTTCGGCGGCCGCGTCGGCGCGGCGCGCCGTCGCGCTCGCGGCCGAGCCGCGCGCTGCGAACCGACGCCCGCCGACAGACCCGCGGGGGCCCGACCTCCTCGCGACCCTTCTCTCGGGCAGCGCTGCCGCCCCTGCGCACGGGCGCGCAGCGCTGCCGCCCCTGCGCACGGGCGCCAGCAGTTTTCCGCCGAGCCGGGGGGCGCGCCGCGACGCGCGCCCTGCCGCGCAGTCTGGCGAGCGCCGCGGGCGCGCATCTCTGAATCGCATCGCTGCCATCCGCGCGGTGCTATGACAGAGCCGTCTCCGACCACCCCTCCCCGTCGCGGGCCTTGCGCGCGATCGGGCGCCCCAGATCTAGCCCCCCGAAGTTGCAGCCATTCGCCGATCCTTCGAACGCGCGGCGAGGAGGCATTTGCGCGCCGCGCGGGCGCTCGCTCGAGCCGCCAGCGCAACGCATTTGAATTTGAGACACCCGCTTTGCATTGGCTTCTCGCGCGTCTAGCCGCGGCGCCGCCGCGCATTTTGGAAGTCGTCGCAGATGCCCCCCCGGCCTCGGCGAACATGTTAAAAGCATAACGTTTGTGTGGTGTTCTTTCATAGGGCAGTGCTGGCGCTGAGGGGCTTCTGCTTCTCTTTCAAAGAACTGAGCTTGGGCGTCGGTCCGGCGCGCGCGGGCGCCTGCGTCGTCGTCGTCGTCGACGGCGACGGCGCCGATGTTAGTCTTGACGCCGACATCATCAGCACTGCCGCCGCCGTGGTCACCTTCGTCATCGTCGCCGCCGCAAGGGGGGGGCGCCGTTGCGCACCGCGCCCGCCTGGGTCGCCGACCCGCGCCAGAGTGCCCGCGCGCCAGCGCGGCCTCTGAAGCGCGCGCGGAAGTCTCCGCGGCAGACGGCCACGGCGGCCGCGGCAGCATTGCCGCGCCAGCAGGCGCAGTCGAATGAGTTCTGCCTGCCAAGTGGCGGGTGGATGGGCGGGTGGACGGGCGAGCGGCTCGAGCATGGGGGGGGGGGGGGGGGGGGGGCGGTCCGCGCGCGAGGAAACCAATGTCGAAATCACGACGTAGACTGCGCGCCGCATTGCCTACGCGACATAGATTCTCCTTTCCAAGAAGACTCTACCCCCCCCCGGCGTTATCGCCCCCCCCCCCCCTTGTCGGGCATGTTAATCACATGTGATTCTGACCACATGTCCATCCTAAATACGAATTTACACTATCCCAGAGGGGCCGGCCCCCCCCCCTGAGGTCCCCTTGTAAAAAACACTATGCGGTGACAACTTATGCTCTAACGTAACACTGTTTTTCGCAAATCGCTTACAACAAATACGAAGTGCACGCGCGCGCGTCGTCGCGCGCTTGCCGAAATTCTTCAAAAACCTTCGGTGCCAGAAGGATTTCGCAATCGAGTTTCCAAAAAACATACAAAACATCAGGTTTCGTAGCACGGATGTTCTAAAAAAGCTTACGCGCGAGCTCTTGCGAAACCTGAAGGAAACCATAGCTTTTTCAAGATTTTCACAACGTGCTACCTAACGGGCGTCGCGCGCGCATGTCGAAATCTGTCGAACGCCCTTGCACGTGTGCCGTCGCGAGAATCCTTTGCTATAAATGAGGCGAAGTGCAGGCGCGCGCGTCGTTGCGCGCGCACGCCGAAATCCATCAAAACCCATTGGTTTCGAAAAGATTTCAAAATCGCGCGCCCAAAAAACTAACAAAAACACCAGGTTTCGCAACGCGGATTTTCAACAAAAGCGTGTGCGCTCGCTCTTGCGGCGTCGTCGTCGCCGTCGTCGTCGTCGGCGTCGCCGTCCCCCCTCCTCCCGCGTCGTCGTCGTCGTCGTCGCCTACGTCGTCCTGTGTCTTTCCTCGCGTTCGTCGTCGCCGTCCTCTTTGGCGTCGCAGTCGTTTCCGTCGTCGTTGTCGCCGTGGTCGTCCTCCCTTCCTCCACCCTCGTCGTCGTCGTCGTCGTCCGTCGTCGGCACCTCGTCGTCGCCCCTCCTATTTCGTCGCCGTCGTCGTCGTCGTTGTCGTCGTCTCGTCGTCGTCTTCCCTCCTCCCTCGTCGGTGTCGTCGTCGGCGTCGCCGCCCTTCCTCCTTCTTCGTCGTTCGCGTTGTCGCCGTCCTCCCTCCCCCCTCGTCGTCGTCGTTGTCGTCGTTGTCGTCGTTGTCGCCGTCGTCGTCCCCCCTCCTCCCTCGTCGTCGTCTTCGTTGGCGACGTCGTCGTCGTCTTCGTCGTCGTCGTCGGCGTCGGCGTCGTCGTCTTCGTCGTCGTCGACGTCGGCGGCGTCGTCGTCGTCGCCGCCGTCGTCGTCGTCGTCGTCGTCGGCCGCCTTGCTTCTCCGGCCTTCTTGGGGCGCTCTCGAGACGCCCCCGAGGGCTCCAAGACGATCCCGGAGCGATATCTGCGCTCGGTCCCGCATGGGTTTTGCAAGCCAAGTTGCGGGCGGGTGGGTGGGGCGATTGCGCGAGCAGTGGAGTTGACAACTTCAAGTTAGGCAAGTGAGTATCTTTAAAAAATAGACCCCCCCCCTCCGGCGTTATCGGCACCCCTTTCGGGCACGTAAATCGCATGTGATCCTGACCATATGTCCATCCTAAATATGAAATCGCAATGTCCCATGCCAGCCGGCACCCCCCGCTTTGAGGCCCCCTAGTAAAAAAAAGCTACGCAGTGACATTTTTGTTCTAACATAACACTTTTTCGCGAATCCATTGCAAAAAATGGAAACGAAGTGCGCGCGCGCGTCGTCGCGCGCACGTGCCGAAATCCTTCAAAAACCTTCGGCGCTGGGAGGATTTCGCAATCGAGTTTCCCAAAAAACAAACACGTAGGGTTTCGTAACACTGATTTGCACAAAAAAAACTTACGCGCAAGCTCTTGCGAATCTTAAGAGCACCATTTGTTTTTCAAGATTTTCCCAAAATGCTATTAAACGGGCTTCGCGCGCGCTTGTCGAAATCAGTCGAACGCCTTCGCGCGCGTGCCGTCGCGAGAATTCAACAAAAAATGGGGCGAAGTGCAGGCGCGGGCGTCGTCGCGCGCGCATGCCGAAATCCTTCAAAACCCATCGGTTTCGGAAGGATTTCAAAATCGCGTGCCCAAAGAACCGACAAAAACCCAAGGCTTCGCAACATGGGTGTTCAACAAAAGCGTGCGCGCGTTCTCTCGCGTCGTCGGCGTCTTGCTTCCTCCCTCGTCGTTGTCGTCGTCGGCCTCGCCGTCCTCCCTCCTTCTTCGTCGTTCGTTCCGTCGCCGTCCTCCCTCCTCCCTCGTCGTTGTCGTCGTCGTCGTTGTCGCCGTAGTCGTCCTCCCTCCTCCTTCGTCGTCGTCTTTGTTGGCGACGTCGTTGTCGTCGTCGTCGTTGTCTTCGTCGTCGTCGTCGTCGTCGGCGTCGTCGTCGTCGGCGTCGTCGTCGCTGCCATCGTCGTCGCCGTCGGCGTCGTCGTCGGTGTCGTCGTCGTCGCGGTCGCTGTCGTCGTCGAAGTCGTTGGAGACGTCGTCGGCGTCGTCGTCGTCGGTGTCGGCGGCGCCGTCGTCGTCTTTGTCGCTGTCGCTGTCGTCGTCGGTGTCTTGGCCAGGTGCCATCTGGCACCTGCCGCAGCGGTCTTGCATTAAGCGGTCGTGCGACCAAGTTGCGGGTAGGGGGGCGCGGTGTCTGCGCGAGCAGTGGAGAGGACAGCTTCAGACGGTCAAAGTGAATTCCACCGCATATGTTCCACCACGTTGGTGACGTCGCATAGATAGCGCCGCACGGGTTGACCAAATAGGTTGCGCCGCATAAAATGCACAGCGCAACTTACACAACGCTGGTTCTCATTCTAAAGAAATAATGCATACCCCCCCCCCCCCCCCCCCCCCCCGAAGTTAACGGTGCGCCCTTTCGCACTGCAAATTGCAATTTGGTTCTGCCCCCCGCCCATCTAAAAATAACTCACACCATCCCAACCAGGCTGCCATCGCCCCCCCCCCCCCCCCCCTTCCCCCCCCCCCCACCCCC